ATACATATATATATATATATATATATTGTAGGGCTGCAGAAACCAAAATGAGCCATCGCCATTCAGGACGACCTAAGGACATGGGCATGAATCGTGAGTACAAGATTTGTTACCCGAGGACGTTCATGGCATCTCCAAACTTCTTCTTTGCCTCTTCGAACCGGCCTTCCTTAAAGTCGATGGCGCCGTCAAAGACAATCGTGGTAGGATCGTCGCGAAGGCACTGGTCGAGGATCGACTGCGTGGCTTTGATGTCGTTTTGCTCGTAGTAGACTGCCGCCCGAAGGAGCGCCACCTGCGTGAACATGTCTCCATCAGGCATGGACACATGATGGACGACGTACGCGGTGGCTGTACTGTTCGCTCTCGAGCTGACTGGCCTTTCGAGACGCGGCGTCGTACTGACCTGCCTGCGTAGTACCCAAGAGAGAGAGAGCGATGTCAAGTCGAGGCTGAAATTGAGGCTACGAACCTTGTATAGCGCTTGGGCGTAGTACAAATGGTAGTCTTCGATGTCGGGAAACAACTTGCATAGCTGCTCGTACATGGACACGGCGTTGTGGAAGCTTTGCATGTGGTAGAAGCAGTACCCTGTGTATCGCGACGGCATGTGAGCCGAGATATGGTTCGTCGTAGAGATGTACCCAAGAGCGACAACGCTGCGCGACTGCACGGGTGGTTCTGCAGCTCGATCTGTAAGATACGCACCGCTTCGTCATACTTTTGATCGCGGATGTGGCCATACACCGTCGACGTGTAGCTTCCACCTACGACGGTCACGGTGATCCATCCGCTCCATGATGGCTCGATGTACCTTCTTTTGCTTGCTGGTACATCTGTCCTTGGGCTCGTCAAGTGGTTGGTCGTGTCGGCCGTGGTGTCGAAAGATATTGGAACTTGGTGAACAGTCGTGTATACTAACTACTCTGGCGCACAATAGTTGTCGATTTATGTATGCCGAATCTTGAGTTTTCCGAATAAACCTGTCTAATTGGATATGCATTATAAGGTTATATAGGTAAATACACCAGAATCGGGTGATGGCAGGTCGCTTCCGAGATGGCTTGGTGACGCATGGCTGTATGTCAGCTCAGAGATATGGTGCGAGCACGTTTTCAATGAATGACATGTAGCATTCAATCTATAGGTTCACTCAGCGGAGTACGAACTCTCGAATAGTTCCCTAGTAGCAATAAGAGCATGGCGCGGACATCGCCGTCCTCCCATCGTTGGTGTAGCTACTGGACTACACACAGGCCAAACTGCGTTGCGCGCCAGTGAGAAGCTTTAGAAGAGATGTATAATGCTACAGGAATCGAAGTGTGTGTGAACTAACGACGTCTTCATAGCCTGGCGGGTGAAGCGCCACATTTTGTTCTTCGCGTGCTACAGTTCTGATGTCATAGCATCAAAACTACGACGAAAGGAGAGGACCTGGAAATAGCCAATCAAAGAGGAGATCCTACGCTATCGATTGCACCAATCAGAAGCAAAAACGGTGAAGTATTACAAAAATTCCACCAATAAGAAATCGAACGTGACAACTATTGAGCGCCAGATTAGTATAAAACAGTGTTTAATACACACCCTCATTCTGATTGGTCAAAGTCCCAGCCGGTTACGTCTGCTCAAATCGGTTTCGGATTGCAATCAGTCGGATCCACTATCAGTTACAAGTCGTAACCCTCGGGTGATCCAAATGCCATTGCGTTCGAAGTAAACCGGCTGTCGTGTGTGTTGGATTGGTATACCCATCGTGCTGCCGCCTCTGGCCTGGTTGGCGTGTCGTCGATTTCGTGGCAGTTCGTTGCGTGTTCCAGTGGTTGGTTAGGTCTCAGTGGAGCCAGCCAGCTATCAGGTGGGCTGAATCCACTTCGCCTGGATTGTTTTGAAGAACATGCCACGAACAAGAAATCCTACTAATCTTTTGTCCAAGATGATGGTTGTCATTGGTGTCGATCGAAAAGCAAGCCATGACTACTGTATGTACGTACATTGTGGCCTCCTGAAAAATATATATGTACAGCTTGTAGTATGCGTACAGTGTCTGTTAGTTGGGTACTATGAGTACTGTATCGCAAGACAAACTACCAATCAACTGAACATTGACTGATCAGTTTGTTGTTCGTGGGGGCGTTGGTTCAGCAGCAAGATCGTCGTCCTATAAGCCCCGCCCCAAATGCTATACGTCAGCCATTCAGCTCAGCATTCAACCCCCTAGCCCCTGTCATTAGAGGTCGGGGAGCCTTGCGTTTATTTCGAAGCGTGCAGACCGATGGGATTGCCCTTTCTTTCACCACAAGTGGAAATTCGTCTTGCGAGGGTAGGGAACATTCAAAGAAAGTTCGACGAACGTTCCAAACTTGAAACTTCAACATTACTTTTATTGATGATTTAGGAGTCCATCCGTTTTACTGGAGTATGATTCTATACGCACACACAATTCACGGTGACAAGTATTTGTGCCGTGAACGAGGGGGGTGCTTTAGAACGAGTACTACGTAGTATTTATTACGTAGTACTATTAGTATACGTATAATAGGACGATAAGTAAACCGTAGTAGTACTGTACTGCAGAAAATTAAATTCGCGAGAAAGCCAGCTTTGACGAACAAGGCAACCAACCCAAGCTTACACTGGTATGATCTCAGAACTCCAAGGTTATGTAAAATACCCGTACAGTAGTACTAGTAGTACACACCACCGCATGAGCATTGTACAGAAGGACTTTGTACGTAAATACACTGTACTCATCGAGTAGTAATGCTCTTCGTGTCTCCACCAATGTTCCATGTGGATAACTCAATAGACACGTGGCGACGCCAACCAAAACGAACGATTTACGTAACGTTACTGTACTAGTACTACATACTAGTAGTACTAGTAGTATTTTGCTGCCGTGTCCTTCCCAAAAGGTATCGGCACTTGAATATTCGTTGACTCCGACTACCCTTGTCAATGGATGCTATACAACACGATGAAGGTGGAAGGTCTTGCGGGACTTTCTTGAGCGTGCGATCCCGTTTGCTTTTCGTCAGTTGACCACTCTACCGACTGGTAATTCTTGTTGGCGACCGTGTCATATGCTGAGGAAACAGGTCCCGAATCGCCCCTGAAAAAAAGCCACCGTCGTACGTAAATTATGTTGCCACTAGATTGGGCGTCAACCAGTTGTGTGCTGTCTTTCGGTCTAGTGACGTGGAACTGCTTGAGGCGACCGCGGGCAGGAGCGAGGGCTACTAGGGCTAGTGTCCCCGACTACCCCCCTCCCCCCCCGATATTTACCACAAATGTGGATGGGGGATATCCCCTCGCACGACAAATGCACTGATTCTGATCTCATCAAACTAATGCACTTGTACGAGGTACGGTACAGAAGCAACTATAGTACACTATCCTACCATTATTTACAAGTGAAAGCTATGCCCCTTCTTTGATCGGTTTGCATACAATCAAGAGTAGTTGTTGGTGCTTGTGTACAGTACATAGCACTCTGTTATACTCTAAAATATTTTTCAAGGGATATGCATAGGTCAGCTGCGAAGGCACCAATGGCTTGCTGAAACACTTAGGGGCCGTCTGGGGGTCTTGCAGCATCTACTATGTAGTACTTTGACGTACTTCATTACGATAAACCTTAACCCCCCTTCCCCCGAAAGAAGACGTGGTTTTTCCCGCATTTGGAATAATGGCACCTGGATTATCTGCCTCTAAACTACTACACTAGTAGTAAGTTTGCCGGTATCAGTTGATATCTCAACCTCTGGTGCAAGTACTGTACTAAAAGGGCAATCCCACGCCACTGGGATTTCCACAAGTAAATGATTTGCACATGGTGTGGTCTCACGGCTATACGGATAGTACTACTAGTACTAGTACAGAACACCGTTAAACACTGTAAATTGAGAAGCTGACTGACTACAACTTTTAGAGTAAGTTAGTAGTACTATGTCCTATTACTATTAATAGTATTACTACAGTAGTAGTAGTCCGTCTGCTTCTCACAGTACTACAGTGCTACTTGAAGTATTAGTACAGCGGTAGTACAACTGTATCGGGCATGGCCATACTAGTAAATTACTTACACATGTACTGAAGTATCACGTGCAGTATTTTGTGCTGATATCAATGTTGAGCTTCGCAGAGTGAGCTCGACAAGCAAGGTTGTACAGCGCTGTACAGTACCGTACACATGCGCGAAATTACTTCGTAATTACGCTGATCCATAAGACTTCACGATCGTACAAAGATCGCACAAGGCGGTGTCCGACCCAACCGTTGCCCTTGATCAAACTCATAATCTAATCTGAACGTGCAATGTCACCAAGTGTGCGCCCGTCTAAGAGCCGGGCGTCGTAAGCAAAGGGGTGGGATATAAGTTCAAAGAGGCGGCATGATGACCCCTACAGATGGTCCTGTGTTTATCTGTATATGTAGTGCCATATAAAACACCACAAGGCAAATACAGTATGTGTCACCACCAAATAACTTTCTTTGGGGGGTGTAGTTTGGTGTATCACTTTCCAACTCTCCCGCAATCGTTCAGTTGTCCCGGTGCCTCGTCCGTAGTTACCCCAGCTCAACACGACCGACTGACTGCAGCTTGTTGGTACTACGCTTCCCGCCTCAGCATGCTCGTGTATCGCAACTCCTTGGACCCGCATTGCATCATTTCTTCCACCATGCAACACCACCAAACACAGCACAACTTTGTCACAGTTCCAAACAACCAACAACATACCCATTCCAACATGTCCCCCACTAGCCCTTCAAGTTCCGTGGCGTCCTCCGAAATGTCGACCACCACACCAACAGCAGCCTCGTCCTCTGTCATGCGCCGATGTACGTACCCCCAATGCGATAAAAAAGTGCGGTCCAAAGGCCTGTGCAAAGCCCATGGCGGCGGGATCCGGTGCCTTGTCCAAGGGTGCAACCGTAGCTCGCAAGGCAAGGGGTACTGTATCCGACACGGCGGGGGGAAACGCTGCTCCATAGCAGGATGCAACCGATCGTCCCAGTCCAATGGACTGTGTAAATCCCACGGAGGAGGGCTGCGCTGCCAAGTGCCGCACTGTGACAAGAGCTCCCAGGGCGGGGGGTACTGTCGTCTGCATGGGGGCGGACATCGATGCCAACACGATCAGTGCGAAAAAGGCGCCCAGCGCGGGGGGTACTGTGCGGCTCACGGCGGCAACCGAGCATGCCAGTTCCCCGACTGCGTTAAGAACGACAGAGGAGGGGGCTACTGCGCCGAACATGGCGGCGGCCGACGTTGCACCACTCCGTCGTGCAACAAACCCGCTCGAAAGCAAGGCAAGTGCTCGCATCATGCGCCGTCGTCGCTGGCGGTGATACCACCGATGATGTATGACGTGGCAGCAGCCTCATCAGGCGCGTCGTCGCTGGACGGATCGTTCGGTCAATCGTTCCTGGAACACCAAAGCTACCATCACCAGTATCAACCACCATCATTTCAAGCCGCCACCACAACGCACCCCCACAATATTCACCCAGACGGCCAATATCCTCGCAACATCACCGGGTATCACACCAGCCACAACAGGGAACGAGTTTTTTACCAAGAGAGCGACCTGTCGAGTAACGCGTCGACGACACCGCGAGGGTTTTCGGATGGTGCCCATATGCCAGTGTACTTTACCAAAGCGGAGCCACATCCGAATCAAATGGGCCCGCCTCCACCCATCCAGACATCGTTCCGATATGGCAGTATGCAACCCCCATCGTATGAGGCTACTCCAACCCCCAACGCATTCAATCATCCTGGCCACCACCAAGGCCTTTCACACCAGGTGTTGGGGATGCATCCCTCGGTCACCCTCATCCCAGATCCTCTACCATACCCGTACCCCGAACAGCGGAGCACGGCACTTCCACCGTCCATGCTGATGCTTCACCATCATCCGCCGACCTCTGGACACCCGCCACATGGGCACAATATGCAGCAGCAGCACTCGTACTTGTCGACCAGCCAACACGCGACTAACCTCACCCCCCAACCCAACCCCCACCACCTCGAACGGGACATGATGTATCATTACTGAGCTCGACCCCCCCCAATTAAGTTATGCAGTTGTGCATCCTAACCAGTGTTTGTTGAAGGACAAGTGTGCAACTTACATACATAGATCATTGTGCTGTACAAAATTATGTTTGTATTGACCACGTTATGGAAGTACCGAAAAGCAAGCAACACTCTATTGCCAAAGATGCAGCATCGTATTCCATTACGTTACACGAGCTAGCGCTTCGACTTCGAACACAATATCGTGGGCTGTCCAAGGTTGTGACTCTGTCGCAGTTATGCTAGTGACATGTACGTGGCACGTGGTGGCGTCGATTTGCGACACAGCGAGGACGAATGAGGGAGAGGTGGCGGCTGATGACTGGATGGTATAGTGGCCGTGGGAAGCAAGGACGATGCCGTCAGTGGGACAAATCTGAAGCGCCTGTCGAAGGCCATGGAGGTCCAGCGGGGCAACCGACGTGACCGATGATGCCTCCACGTCGACAGGCTGCAGGAGTGGTCGAATGGCCAGTTGTTGCAACAGGTACACGCTAAAGTCATTCGATTTCTGAAGCCGTTGGCCGCTTCCTGGACTTACGCAGGACACGACGACCTGTCCGTTGTACTGGTCGAGGGAAGGAAGGTCGAGTGGGAGCACCGTGGAAGTGTGTGAGCCAACGTCAAGGTCGGCGGGAGTGGTCTTGACGACGAGGAGGGTGTCGTCGGTGTCGTCGGTGTCGTCGGCGGGAGACGCTGGGAACCGACGGCGGATGGAGACTGTGCAACACACAACTGGGATTGGAATGGCACCTGTATTCCTCACGTCCAAGTGGAGCGTTGTGGCGGCTGCGCCGTCACCTGTGACAACGCACTTGACATCGAGGCTTTGTAGGAGCAGGTGCTCCATCATGTCGTTCATCATGCGAGACATTCCAACGCTTTGTTCCATACTAGCGCGGAACTTTCCCATCATAGCGCCAAACTGAGCTTGCATACCTTCGGTGTACAGCTTCATCATGTCTGCCATGTCGTGTCCGTTGCCACCGCCTTCGGTCGCCATGGTCGTGAGCGCACCCGAGTTTAGTAACGTTAGCCAATCAAAATCGTGCATCCGTCGAAGGGTGTACTACGTAGTAAATGTGTTGCAAACGTTTGCATTCGTTTGAAACACGATTGTACTCTAAAATCTGCAGCGGCCTGTCCTGATGATCATTTCTGACAGTGCACTACTCCAAAATATACATTGAACGTTACTTCTATTTTAATAGTAACGTACGTACTTTCTTTCATACGGTTTCGATTTGATTTGGCCGAGTTATGCAAAAATGAATGTTCGAATAAACTAATAACTATTTTAATAGTTATAATAACTATTTTAATACTAATAACTATTTTAATAGTTATTAGTTTATTCGAACATTCATTTTTGCATAACTCGGCCAAATCAAATCGAAACCGTATGAAAGTTGCACCTTTGGATGTATTAATAGATATCTATACTAGTATACTACAGTAGTATAAGAATTGGACTAGCCAATCAAGAACCTAGAAAGCGCTCAATGGTGTCGGGAGCTGTTTAAACAGTTCCCGACATCATTTTTTTATCTGGATGCATGTATAGACGAATCGAAGTATTTGGTACAAAAAGGTAATTAACTGTAAAGCATTTATGTTATTGGCATCATGTTTGAGGGCGGGTCTGGATGCTACGAAAAATGGCATAAAATGGCCGTTTTTCCAAGAAAGTTGCCAAAATCGAAATATTCCATTTTTCAAAATTTTGTGCATCTGGATAAAGTTCAAAACTTTATGGATCAGTATACTTGAGAATCGGGTGTTTAATGGGTTTTTTTTGTGTTCACGTTCAAGTCTTGCACTTCAATTGGAAATCGAATACTTTTTCCAATATTCAGCTGGCATCCAGACAACTTTGTAGATACTTCTTTTCTCCTTGTTTTCATGAGATATGAGACTTGCCAAAACGGTTTATGGCATAATTTTATGGGGTGGCATCCAGACCAGCCCTAATCATTGTTTTGTGAGGGAAATCCCAGGTTATTTCGCGGAGATTTGGATCGGGAACAGTAAGACCCGCCTGTGGGAAATGTGAGTAACAGTAAGCGCCGCCCGTGGAAATTTTGAGTAGAACAACACACAATACCTACTGAATTCCCCCTGACTTTGGAACGCCTAAATTTCAATAATTTGTGAAAACGAATAGTATTAAATTTTAAAGTTCTTTCAAATATTCAAATGCATGCATGAAATCGATGTGGCTACTGTCAATTCAAAGATGAAGCCGCGCATGACGTTGGAAGGCAAACACGCCTAGGATGTTAAGCATTTAGAACAACCAAGTTTAACGTATTCTGAGCTGGCACTTTGGGCTAAGGAGACGTTCAATCTGTGCTCTACGCCATCAAAGCAGACCGTCGGAGTGTCATCGTACTACACTACTACGTACTAATAGTTCTACGTAGTAATAGTTATGTATTGTGAATTCGCTATAAACTTCCAAAATTCGCCTGGTTTGTCGAATAAATATTGAATCACGCCGGAGTTCTGATTGGTTGAATATACTTGCTTAGGGCTGATCTGGATGCACCCCATAAAATTATGCCATAAATCGTTTTGGCAAGTCTACAAAAATTTCCCAAAGTCTCCTATCCCATGAAATAAAGGAGAAAAGAAATATTTACAAAGTTGTCTGGATACCTGTTGAATTATGGAAAAATTATTCGATTTCCGATTGAAGTGCAAGACTTCAACATGAACAGAATTGGGTGTTTTATGGCATAAATAAAATGGACCGATTTGATCCATTTACTTAATGTAATAAAACACCCGATTCTCAAGAATATTTTGGCATCAATTTTTGAACTTTGGTGGCATCCAGACGCATAAAATCTCGAAAAATGGAATATTTCGATTTTGCCAACTTTTCTTCAATAACGGCCATTTTATCCCATTTTCCAGACCTGACAGTGATTCAATGTACGATCCCTGAGCGCTTTGGCCCCATATGCGAGTCTCTCCGTATCCCCAGCACACACACACGAATACCGAATGTGCACACAGACATCTCAAGTACACCAACTAGACGCCCGCGCTACCGCAACGTACGACTACACCTCGTCGTACTGCCCAAGCAGTTGTGGAAAACTGAGTTGGATGTCCATTTTCTGCCCAAATCTTCGAAGTTCTAACCAATCATATCATCGCGCTATTTGTTGGCGATTTTCACAATGGCTCACAACTGTAAAATAGTACAGCTGTACTTCGAATTACTATTCACAGTCAACTCCTTTCTGCAAGAGCCAATCAAATCCACTCAAAAATGGATTAGTGTCGATTCGTTATTCGATTCGACGGGGTCTGGAAATTCGTATCGAATCCACAATAACGTTACTAGTATGACACTATACGTACGATTGCTCCCCGGCTCATGTCCTCGCTGTGGGTCATTTGTGATCAAATGTTGTTCTTGACGACCAGTGAATTGTACAATTTGGTCCCGAGACTACCAGATATAACTTCGATTTGAACTTTTCAAATGTGCAAAAGCGATAAGTGAAATCGTAGACCAAAACATAACTTTTCAAGAGCCTGACCCTCTCCCCCGGTACTTCGTCCTACAGTGTTCACGTATGGTGCTTTGTCCCGGGGTTTGTTAGTAGCAAGTGGTTAGCTATCGCTAATTACTCCGAGTAGTTGCAACACACAAACTCCTCATGGAAGGAGTGTGGTACACCAACATTCATAAGTACCCAAACTATTTTATTGAGTACGGTATATCTGATCTGTGGATTGGAGACCTTTTAACCAGTTCTATGTCTTTCTCGCTCGACTGCTGTCATGTACTAGGAGAGGCTGCGGAACATCATGGCGGAGAGTTCATCGCTAAAGCTAGGCATAGCTATCGTGCTTCTGGTCGATCGACATGTTCTAGACTCCTATGACCTAGCGCCTTGTGCTTGGACCTAGGGCAGATCGGTCCATACTACACTGCCAGCAAATTTCACTGGCGAGTACCAGGTAAGCACATTGCTGTTGAACGTTACTACAATATATGAAAATTAGTATGTGAGCATATATATGGCAGATTGGACAATCCGTGTAAAACCATCACTAATAGCCGCCAATCATGTGGAAGCAGAAAAGTGCGATGAAATATTTTTATTTAGGTTTCAAGGACGACTTGGAAGAGGTCCCTGGTATAAAAAAACACAAAGGCGTTTGAAACGCTTTGTCTGAAACCACCTGGATGTTCGGAATTGCTTCGATTTCATTGGATCCCCAGAAGCAGAACTTTCTGACTCCAGGTGCAATCAAGGCATGCAACGTTCGAACTACGACACATTTCCCGTCGTCCACTGTGCATCATGGGTATCCTGTCGGCGGGATCGGCATGTATGTACGACGTGGAAGGCAACATCTTGACGACGACGCAGTGTCCCGTCGGTGCCGTGGCGTGTATCGTCTCCGCGGTCGGATGTGATGTCGTCAAGTCCTTCAACACGCCAGCCCTGCTCCCCAGCTTCATCGTCGCCGACGTGCCCATTGCATACCTCGAGATGCTTCCTGCGAATGCGAGCCGCATGTACGCTCATAGTCGACCATGATATATGAACCTCATTGGTGATATTGTCCTGCACCTAGAACCTTGAAAGGAAACGGTATCTCGCGAGTGGGGGACTTGAGGTTAGACCGAGATGGCAAGCCGTCCACCACGATCTCGCTGTACGCATATCCATGTCGTATCAATTCCCATGTCCTGGTTATACTGACGATATACATGCATAGATCGTTGATCGACCAAACTCTGATGACCTTGGACCGAAGTACTCGCTTCCCTCCAACCCTTCAATCCTTGTAGTGTACCCCCATGAAGTCGGCAATCACCCTTCGTTCTCCTCACCACATCCACACCTCTAGGTCGTTGGCTCGTTCGTCCTTGACTGCCATTCGTAACACATCCTTCCCCATCACACTCACGTCCTTGTAAGTTCACTTATAGCTTCGACGATCGTCACACTCGTACTTTTGCTTGTAGGGACCTAAGCTATTCCATTCTCCATGAATTCGTCGTGGACCCCCTTTCGTTCCGCACGCTCTCGCGCCTGACATCATTCGGCACGAATGTCACCATCAACGTTTCGTCGTCCACATGCTCGTCCATTCCTGGAGCATCCTTCGAATCCGTTCAAAATGGCCGGTTCTTCCTTTGTGTTGTCAACACGACCATGTCCAATGGTAGGTTGAAGAGATCCAAATTTCATTCCACGAAATGTTTATATATGGACTTTTGTATACTCGATGGATGTTTCTTCGCGCGCATTTTTGAATTTCCACCGTTGAAGTAGGCAACAATGCCGCCACCATGATGCACGACCCCACGACTTCGATACCGTCGCATGCAATCACCGGTCCGTCCTGTCCTCATGCCTTCGTATCCACATGAACCTGATCCTACATTTTTGCGCAGGCGACGCATCGACCCTTCCGTCTCCATCTTCGCTCGTCGTGACCATCGCCCTCGTTAGCGTCCTCGTCGTCGGTGTAATTGTCGTCGTGTTCTGTTTGGTCCGTCGACGGCATGCTTCATCGTCCCCTTTTTTCCCTACCAGTCGAACCACGCGCCGCCTTTCGTCGAGCTTTTTCCTGAATTCTCCACCGAAAGCCACGATTCGAGGCAGTCTCGTGGGACTTCACGACGTTCGATTCGATCCGGCCGTTGCCTCCGCCCGTCTAGCACGGTCCGACCTCCGTTCCGTGCATACGGTTCATGCAGACGGCCTAGCCATCGTTTCTTTTGGGTACTGGAAGGTCCATGTCCCCGTCACTATTCGCCAACTTCAACCGAACACCCCAGTCTCGTCTATCGCAACCTTCATGGACGAAGTCCAAACGTGCGTGTCAATCGTGCATGATCATGTGGTGCCCTGTGTCGGTGTCGCGTGGAGCACATCGTCGGATATCGCGATTGTGTCGGAACACATGGAAGGCGGAACGCTTCAGAGCCACATGGCGCAATATGGCCACACTCGGCAGTTCCACGCGGCGAAATGGGTCGTTGCGTTTCAAATCGCTGACGCCCTCGTGTACTTGCACGCACAGAGCATTATTTATAGGACGCTGCATGCTGAATCGGTGCTGTTATCGGCAGATGGCCACCCCAAGCTGTCGAATCACGGCCTTCGCAGGACCAATCGAAGGCGGAACGACGGTGGAGGGGTGTCATTGGTGTGGTCGCACCTAGCCTCTACCGCGCCAGAGCTTCTAAATCGCGGCGACCACACATCAGCCAGCGACGTGTATGCGCTGGGGGTCCTTCTCTGCGAGTTGGATAAAGGCACGTCGTTTTCCTCCGTGGACGCGAAAGGTGAAGAAACGCTCCGTGGCGACGTCGAGCGCATCGTCCTTGGCAAATTCCAGCCCGAGATATCCTCGTCTTGCCCTGAGGACATTGCGGCACTCATCCGTGCATGCGTCCACGTGAATCCAACAGAGCGACCGACGGCCGAAGCCGTGCTTCACGCACTCCGGCCGTTCAACCAGGACGCTAGCGGCGCCGTGGAGGTATAGGGAAGCAGTATGTAGTTTGTTCATATGTAGCAAGTCTCTTGTGTCCTCCATGTGCATCATGCAATACCAGACACCGCGGAATGGTACTATCCATCGTTGTGTTCGTTGGGGCGACCTTTCCTGCATCGTCGGTTTAGGCGTTCCCCATCACTCCATGAAGAAACGCGTCATGTTTGTAATGCAAATACACGTCTTGGATTGGTTGATTCGAAGGAATTTTCAACCAATCACACGTTTAGATTCAAAAAGCATAAAATTTGTAGGAGGAATCCGCACTTTGTCGGGTTGCGGGAGAGCGGGTTCGGACAAGACGGGTTGTTGAAAACCTTGCTAAAACAAATATATTGCTATAATACATACTTGAACCACTGCCTTCATGGGCATTATTATAAATCAATTCAAACGAACGGATTCTTTCTATGTATTTTCGGCTCGATAAATCAAAATAGTTGAATTAGAACTCCCATAGTGAATAAATGGATATTTTTGATGTAGTTCGGAAATATACTTAAAAACGTCCAGGTTCCTGACGTGTGGCAAGTGGGTGATTCATTTCCCAAGCCGCCACCTATCCGCAAGGTATATTTAACCGCCAACCTCCGCCTCCATCAGATCATTGGCGTCATGGTGGATCATCGAGGCCGCATCCGTGCACGTCAGATTAGCATCCTTAACGCAAGATGCCGACTGCACTCCCCTCTGTACCGCAACACCCGATCGACAGTCTCGACGTCGTCGCGGTCATCAGTTGAAGACTACGAAGAGTCGCGCATTGTCCGCTCGAGCTCCCCCTCGCGCTCCCCCTCGCGCTCTCCTATCCGCGTCGTCCAGCGGCAAATGTTCTTTGGTGACGACTACGCTGACTCTGACAGCGACTGTCCGGCGAAGGAGGTTGAGTTTCACTCTGAAGTTATCAAACCGTCGGCGCCAAACGAGTTCGTGCGAACCACAACCACCACCACGACCAAGACTGTGGTGTGCGAACAGCAAATGCACCTCGAATCCGATGTAGAAACAAACTCGTCTTCAGTCGCTGCGATGGACAACGCGTGGGAAATGTCCACAGCCGGCATGGCTCGCCGGTCGACCGCAGACTCTGCGCCCAGTTCAAACTTTTCGGCGTCCCCTTGTGAACGCCAGAAGTCGCGCCACCATCCTCATTACATTCGGCCTACGTTTTCGTCTGCGTTGGCGCAATCCACCGGTATGTCGGACACGTTAGCTCGCATGAAGTTGCGCAAGCAAGAAGTCGAGATGGCGAGTGTGGTCGACAAGGTTCAAAAACAGATGATTGCGATGGAGAGCGTTCTCAAGGAGTTGCAGCTCGAACATCGTGTCAAGTGCGACTTACTGGAGCGTCAGATCGTCCTCACGACTCGGGTGGAGCAGGAAAAGACGGCGTTGAAACAGCAATTGGAGGCCGTTACCCGTCAACTTGTCGCACTTCAAAGCCACAAGGAAGGCGAAACAATGCAAAACGTCAACTACTTGTCGGTAGCCATGACGGCATTTATGAACCAGTCGGAACAAGCGCAGAATTTAATGTTGAACCAGCTCAAGTCGCTCGACGAACGCCCCTCCACTCAATCAAAGGACCTCAGTGCGGACATGTTGGAACGATTGACTTCGTACCATCAAGATGTGTTGGCCGCCCTGCAGGCCACTGCCGCACCACCAGCCAAAGTAGCCGAGCCAGTGACTGTGGTGCGTCGAAGCCACACCATGGCGACAGAAGCCATCGACCCGGCTCCCTTGGCCAAGGCTTCTCCTGCTCCCACCAGCCCCTCACTGTTTACGTCCCAGCGACTGATGGGTGCCTTGATCTTCTGTATTGGCGTGGGGGCAGGCGCGTTGAACCTGTCGTCAACGAAGGACGTGCACTCGTCAAGCCCTGTTGTCCATGCCCCATTTGACGTGGAGATGCTTGTGGAAAAACTGAAGCAAGTGTACAAGGCGCCGGAACCGTCGGCGTCCTCCCAATGGGTTGAAACTGTCCCTGACGTTGTCGTGGAGAAGGCACCGGAAGTCCTGAAGACTGTGCAGCAAGCGAACCTCCCAGTAAAGACGACTCAAGCAGCTCCCTTGAAAGTGCTTGATGCTCGTGAGGAGAAGTCAGCGGACGTTAAAGAACCCAAGGAAGACGTGTCGACTAGCAAAGAAGTCGTTGTGGAAGCCACCAAGACCCCCCAAGACATTAGCGCCCAAATTGCGCTCATGTTGAAGCTGACCAACACGAAGAAGCCTGCGAGCGTTCCTGCGACAGAGGGCAACGTTGCCCCTTCTCTAGAAACCGTGGAAAAGAAGCCGTCGGTGGACACGTCACCCCGTCGCCCATTGACCCAAGAACAACTTCCCGGGTTCAATGTGTCGTTGGTGGAAGCCCCGACGACGCTAGCCAATGACGGTGTGGTCGAAGCGGTGGCGACGGAGACTACCCGAAACCTTTCGGCTGAGATTGCATTTGAAAACGCAACTCAAACCCCATCCAAGGTGCTGCCACTCTCAGCGGACGCTGTGGGCGTTGAAGCTGTGCCTATTGTTGCCGACGTCGTTCTGGAGGAACCCAAAGTTGTTTCAAGCGATGCAAACGCCACGAAGTCTGCGACTGTGGAAAGAAACGTCTCGTACGATGAAGTGGACGCGTCTGCTTTGTCGGCAGGGTTGGCGACGGACGTGCTGCCGGCGTCTGCCTTCGATTCGTTGGCGTTGGCGTTGCGATCCCTTGTCTATCCCTCGCAAGCGAACGCGTCTAAAACGACGCCCAAAGTGAATGCTCCCCTGGCGTCCAAGTCATCTGGACGACATTTATGGAAGCGGGGAGATGCCAATGCCGCCTTGGGAGAGCCAGTCGAGATTACGACAGAGGACTTGCCGACCTCGACAGTGGCCGTAGTGGCGGCTACTGACAATGCGACGGCCGTTGTATCCCCCGTGGAGGAAGCTGCCGTTGTCGCTGCTGAACCAATTGCTGAAGCTAATGTGACCACCACTTCATTGGAAGGCGCCCCTGTCAAGAAGGAGCAGGTGTGGTTGAATGCGTCATCGGAGCAAGCCACTCGCCCTGTGACACTGTCGACCTCATGGGTGGCGCCCTGGGCTGACTCGGTGTACTCGACACCTTTTTTGCCAAAATCGCAGCCAGTTGAAGTGGCCAACACCGACGTTTCTGTCCTCCCCAAGCTGACATTGCCCCCCCTTGACTTGCCAACATGCGCTTGGAACATGTCGGTCGCCCCGGAGGTATCTCGAAACCCATTTTACGTGGCCAAGACCATTGGTGTTCCCATCCTCCATCAACCCCCTACCGCCGTCCCTGTGTCGACGGCTCTGAATGACATGGTTGCTGCCACACACCTTAATGTGTCGAACGTGTGGCTGTCAGAGGTCGTGCTCAATGAGGAAAAAGAAAGCCCTGCGGATGCTCCATTGGAAGATGCTCTCGGGACGGCTCCAGTGTTGACGACAGTGAAGTCTGACGATGCCGAACCCTTCGTCGCGAAAGCTAAAGGCATTCCTGAAGAACATGAGCAAGTGGTTGCACTGCCTGATGTGGAAGCTGTTGATGCCGTCGAGTCGGCTGAGGTCCCGGTCTTTGAAACGGATGCCGTTGTGCCGCCACCTTCTGACAATGTGGTGGAAGTGGTCGTTGAAGACAAGCTGGAAGCAGCTGTTGTGGTACCCGTGGCGACTGAAGTTGAAGTTGTGGCGCCAGTAATTGCCCAACTCGCTCAAGAAGTGGTCGAAGTTGTCCTGGAAACCAAGCTGGAAGCGAATGTGGTAGCTGGCGAAGTGGTTGAAGTGCCTGTCGTGGCTCAAGTCTTGGAAGAAGTTGTGGACGTAGCCATCGAACTCCACGCGGAACCTGTTGGCGCGCCAGTGGTTGGCGATGTTTCTGAAGTTGCTCAAGTAGTGGTGGAAGCTGTGGACGTAGCCATCGAATTCCACCCGGAACCTGTTGGCGAAGTGGTTGAAGTGCCTGTCGTGGCTCAAGTGTTGGAAGAAGCTGTGGACGTAGTCAACGAACTCCACCCGGAACCTGTTGGCGCGCCAGTGGTTGGCGATGTTTCTGAAGTTGCTCAAGTAGTGGTGGAAGCTGCAGTTACGACTGAAGCTACTGATGCCGCGTCTGAAGTGGTCTCTGAGATTGAAGCTGAAGCGGTGATTGCCTCGACCGTACTAGTCGAAACTGACGTTGCTGAGCAGGTTGCACCTGACATTGCCGTTGTTGCTACGTCCCCCGTGGCCGAACCATTTGAAGTTGTGGCAGAGGTCTCTGTGATTGCTGAAGTCAAACTGGATGCGGTCGCACAAGCCCTACCTATGACCGACGAAGTGGTTGGTGTGCAGAACGTTGTCGCACAAACCTTACCTCTGGCCGACGAAGTGGTTGATGTGCAGGACGTTGTCGCACACACTGAATCCGTCGAGGTAGTGGCTGTGGCACCAGTTGCCTCTGTGATGGCCAACGTGGAAGTGCCCGCGTCTGTTGAAACGGAACCCGCTGGGGAAGCAAACCCGTTGACGGACGTTGCTGAATCTGCTGCCACGGAAGGAACGCTGGCGGCTGTGGCACTCGCCGCCGACGTTGTCGACTCGCCTTAAAAGTTCAATTTATTTATTCGTTTTGCTCGTTTTAAGTTGGACTCACTGGCGTAATGAGTGTAATCGTGAGGGGATGGATCTTGGAAATCGGTTACTTAGGAAAGTGTTCAGGTGTAAACAGTTACTCTGCCTTTTTGCGTCTTGTTGCGGTTAGGAAGGCCGTTTCACACACATGAAACGGTAACAATATGGTGCTGGACTCGGACAAAATTCGCGCGTCGAAAGTACTCGCGTCGGCGCGGGCACTAGGGCTGAATGTGCACGATGTCGACCTGCATCGGGCGCTGCAGTCGCACAACGCGCCGCATGACCAAGTGTTTGACAAAAATATCAACTCGTCCGCTCGGTTGTTTATGCGCAACGTGGCCAAGCACAAGGCCACGCCCAAGGTGGTCAAAGCCACACCTCATTCGGTGTCAAACTCGCCTGTGGCGCCTCGTGTGAGGACTTGTGTCTTGCTCGTCGACTCGGACCGTCTGCGGTACGTTTGCATGATGTAAATCTATCATGATTATGCGCTTGATATCTGTGAGAGATCCAGTCGTGTATGAGTAAGTTTCTGCTTGGAGACAGACCACGGGCGTTGTTGAGATTTGGGGGGGTTGAGCTTGTAGGCGAGACGACCTCACAGCCGCCATGTCGTCGCGCTTTAAGGTGGTCGTGGCTAGCTCCCTGAAGGATGCACTCCAAGTGCTGCAGATGCTCAAGGTGCACGTGGTGCTCGCGCGCCTGCGCTACCAAAAGGACTCGGCCATTGACTTGATCCACGCGTGTCGGGAGAAGCACATGACGGTGCCCGTCGCACTATACACGTCGTGCGTTGTTGGCTACGAGGTATGTACTACTTTTCGTACCAGTCGTCCACTGTCGGATGACACTTGTAATGTCGTCGGGTTGTGTTCTACGAGCACAAGCATGACTTGGGGTTCAACCAATCGATGGTTGTAGGCGATGCTGGCAGAATGTGTGGATGCGGGGGCGTGCGGGTTCTTTGAAGACACACTGCCTCCAGAAATCCTCTGCTTTCGCCTGCTCGACATGACCAAGTCATTTCACGCTACAGACGCGGTACTGTACTCGACTCTCCCATACACATCCATTTCTTTCCAATTGGCAAAGTTACATCACTTTTATCGCTAGGAATGGCGAGATTTCAAGCCGCCACCGTCCTCTTCGACCGTCCTGCAGCACCACCGGGTATCGACGTCCCATCCGGCGGCCCGTCACCACAAGGTGAGCGCGCGGTCGCTGCTGTCTCCTGGGGGCTTCCGACGGTCAAGCAAGATGCCGTCGAACGTCGAAAACGGGGACATGGCGGCACGGAGCCCGACGACCAACACCAGCGACGTGACCATGACGACGCTGGACATGCAGATCCAGGATCGGCAGACATTTCTCGCCAAGCAAGAGCACATTCAAAAGGTCATGACTATTCAGCACTCGGTGCTCGGGCTTAACGATTCTCGTCATCATATTCGATCCAGCAAACCCAACCTATCCGTCCGGAAGGAACCCCGGTTGCTGAATCCGGATTTGGTCCGGCGGGAGGTTCCCGAGCCTTCCCACGACCAGATCGTTCAGTGCATGTACACCCATCCCCATGTCGTGGCGACACTAGTTCAACACCACGACTACGACGTGCGCACGCGGCCCCCGCGAGACCCCGTGCCACAGGTATGTGCCGAGTATCATTGAACAAAAAAACTGATATGGACTGTGAAAACTGATATGGGCTACAAAACACTGATATGGACTACAAGAAACTGATTTGGACTCAAAATGATATGGACAACAAGAAACTGATTTGGACTCTATGATATGGACGACAAGATTTCCTCACAACGCAAAAGCTGCTATACACAAACCAAGTTCACACCATCGTCCTGACGGTAGGAGCCGCTGCTGACGCACTGCCTCATCGTGGACCCGTCGACGTTGTGCGACTCGAAAGCCGTGCTCAAGCGCATCAATCGCGGCTACTTGGCGCTTGAGGCGGGTCACTTCGACCGAGCGATTCGCTGGTGCACGTTGTCGTTGAAAATGGAACCCAACCATTTGCCCAAGTGGTGCCTCTTGATACGGGGCAGTGTGCACGACCTGTTGGGCGCTTACGAGGCTGCCGTAAATGACTTTGAATCAGCCATTTCCATCGATCCGACGTTCCACCAAGCACATTTCAACAAGAGTGTGAGTCTGCTCAAACTCGGCAAGGACGACGCAGCGCTGGACGCGGTGGTCGCCGCGCAGGCGCATGTCGTCGGGAAAGCGGCGCGCAGTCGGCCCGTCCCACCAGAGTACGTTCGAAACCACGCGCTGATTCTGCGCCGGATGGGGCGGTACGACGATGCCCGGGTCGTGTATGCCACCCTGGACGTGTCAACTGGTGGAAGCACCGCCGCTACTTGCTCGATACCATCCAACCCCCCCATCGAAACTCCAATTCTTGGAGCATCCACTGGCCCAGTTTGCCTTGACGAGACTGTTGTGGAAAAGGAACAGTCGTTGGAGGAGCACATGCTGGGCAAGGCGGGGCTCCCGGGGAGTGTCTTTGATGCGCTGTTTTGTCAATCGAAAGACGATAAAGCCGCGTGCCGCGCAGCGCCACAGACCCGAACCCCCGCCATGCTGGACCTGCTGCAGTCCCGGCTGTACCAGTACGATTATTTCGCCCACTGCCCCGAGCCCGTGCTTCGGAATGTATGTCAGGCCCTGCACCACGTGGTCGTGCGCAGCGGCGACACGTTCTACTTGGGCCACGACAACCCCCACGCGTTCTACGTGTGCATGAGTGGCACGCTGAGCGTCCACGCCAACTTGACGCTGGCTGGACAAGATGTTGATACGATGGCATCGTCGAGCACGCACCGCCTTCGCCCCGGCGACGTATTTGGTACGAGAAATGCCTCTGATGCGTGCTGTTGGGATGTGTACATGGCTCGTCCTGTGAATACTGACTGTAGGACACACGGAATGGAGATGATTGTACTTGACGATTGAGGTTTCTGGTCCTATTTATATGGTGGTGTATTGTACCTGTGACGAGTACTAGCTAGTACTGTATTGTGTGAATTCGGTACAAATTTCCAGAACTCACCGCGTAATCGACGCTATTGGTGGTTAATCCACTTTTGAGTGGAATTGATTGGTTCTTATATAAAGGACACGAATATTCAACCAATCAGAACATCGAGCGTGGTTCATTAGAAACCCACGCAAATGTTGGAATTCACAATATGACGCTTGACTATTTTAATAATTGCAAAATATCTCTGTACTGTTAACAACATTTGCGGAATGCATCACTCGGACAATAAAAAAACATAACTTTGGAGGGGGGGCTAAAGTAGTCTTGTCCGATATGTTGCAAAGTTGATTGAATCGAATCTGTGAAATGAACGACGGAAGGATGGATATAAATGGATGTTGCTGTGGGGGTAGGATGTGTCGGGGTCAGCATCTCGTCGTTGATGATGTACTTGGCGGACGAGCGGACGGAGATTATGTACCTCACGCCGTCCGCTTTCAAAGACACGCTGGAAGCCCACTGGCTCATGGAGCAGCATGCTCGCTTCAATGTACTTCGCCGGTCGCCCGCGTTTCAAGTGCTCTCTGACAGCGAGTTGGGCCACGTCGTGAGCCACAGCAACCTCGTGCGATTCCATAAAGGCGACGTTGTCGTCGCTCAAAACGAGTTTCCCAAGCGATTGTATGTCTTGTACAAGGGCATTTGTCGCGTCGAGCAGTCGTTTTCGCTGCCGGCAGATGACTGCGACAATAACCCGTCTCGTCGCCCTTCAGTAGCGCAAACGTCCCCCGCGTCGACCGGGATGCTGCCATCGACGCCTGTCAAGCCGTACCACCGGTACTTGGAAATACCCAACTGGCCGCTAGGTTTCCGAACGCATCAAAAAGCTCATTCGACCAACGCTTTGTTGACTGGTCATCTATCCCCGATCAACCCCTCTTTGGGAAACCGTCCCGGTAGCCCTTGCCAAGCACAAGTGCCAATCACGGCCTTATCGTCACCTCCTCCCCCTCTGCCTACCATAACCCATGACATCTACCCCCCCGCACTCTTTGGCGAATCTGCATATAAAACGGTGCCCGAAAAGGCCAAATGGTTCGAGGATTTATGCACAAGCTATAGTACCTATTGCCCCTCCTTATTCCCAGTGGATATGCCTAGTTCAATCGTTGCATCGACGCTGGTTGAGGTCTTGGCCGTGGACATGCACCAACTCAAGTCCCTGAACGTTGCTAAGGAACTGTTTGCAGCGGTCGTAGCTAACGCCCCTATCTACGTGGACGAAGCGAAAGCAAGCAAAATGCAGGCGAGTCACGCCCAGTGGGCGGCGAAGCGAGGAAAGGAGGCATTGCAAGTTAACAAGACGCGCTGGCCAGTGAACAAAGTACAACGATATACCGTGCATAATGGACACTTGTGGATGGCGACTGATGAGAGATTGGTAGGCACGACTGCGGTACATTCCCAACGGCGGCTCCATTGTAGTGCCGGACGGCAACATTGTGTCTGCCCACCACACATTCAAGTGATAGGACCAACATCGGATAAGCGTACCTGTTTGACCCAAGCCGGACATGTTGCTTGTTGAAATAAGAATCAATTCAACCTTGTTGGACTACGTCGTTCCAAATTACGTTTCAACTTCGACTCACTACGTTTTGCATACTACTGGTACTCGGTATTATTTTAATAGTACCGAGGTCCAGTAGTATTATTATTAAAATAGTAATACTTTTTGTTATTAATAATAATACTTTTTGTTACTAATAATAATACTTTTTGCTATGAATAATAATACTTTTTGTTACTAATAATAATACGTTTTGTTATTAATAATATTACGTTTTGTTATTAATAATAATACTTTTTGTTGGACTGTTCAACTGATTCTCGAAATGTGATTGGGTGAAAACTCACGTGACAGTCCATAACAAATCGGTCAAATTAACCGTGAAATAATATTGTCCCGTCGCCAGTGCGAAGTTTGACGACACGAAGATGGGGGTAGATGATCTCCACGTGATATGTAGATATGTATCAATTCATATTGCTCCAAGATTTGTCGCTACCATAACGTTACCTATAACATTGCGCTTTCAATTTGGGCGTATCTGCATTCGATCCAAATCATCCACCGCATTCACCTCGAAAAACGTGCGACACTCCAAGCTGGCCGATTTAAGAGTGTCCAGAGGCGAAGTCTTTGGCACGATCATGATGGCTGGTGTCGGGAAGCCGTGATAGATGGTATATGGAGTGCTTTCTGGACACAACTACACGGTGGCCGCCGACATTTATTCGCGGGGCACGTGGTACATTATTGCGGCCAACGGATTGGATTGAAGATTCTGGTGATACGATGAGGCCAGCAGACTTGTAACGTGCTTATAGGCATTGTACTCGGGGAATTGGACAGCCATTCGTTCCCTGGTGCGACACCCCGAAACTGGCGGGACCTTGACCGAGTCGGCCATTGTGATGTTGGTGACGCAGGGCAAACTCAGTTTGGTCAAGATTTGGCCCTCCGCTACGTCGCGACCAATCCAGACTACCGCCCCACTGCCAATCAAATTGTGTTGGCCCAACATGTTGTCGCGTAAAACGTAGTCGCTGCCCCATTGATATGACGTTAACCAAGACCAGTATATATATATGAAAAATAAATAAATATTGTTCAGCCTTCACTATATGCGACGAATATTGTCGACACGTACGGTTACTTGTTGTTCACTGGCAACTTTGTCCGTAAGATCTTCATAGAACATGGCTTTGAAGCGAATAGAGTGGACATAATATACGGCCAACTTGGGATCGCAGTGATTTCCCTCCCACATATGCCCTTGTTAATATGGTCAGGTTGACTCGGGTCGAGTCAACCACGCCATGGCAGTCGTGGACGAATGAAGGGAGTCGCACGGATCGTTGCATTGGGATGGGCGCCTTTGTTGCGTGGTGTCGCCATGGTGGTGCACTTTGCGGTGAGATAATGGTATTTCCACTGTCTGAAACACTACGCGCTGGAATGTCGGCATTTTCCACGCAGCAGTTGCTACGTTATGGTTGGGCCACTTACACTGCGTTGAACATGGCGTTGAGCGCGCCTCGACGTTTGAAACGCTTTCCATCGAGCCAACGTTACTGCCATGCCATAGCGTGGAACCAGCATGCCCACTACATAGTTGGCAATAATGCCAATCAATTTAATGTATACAACTTTATTCAAAGTAGATAAGTACCAGCATGCAAAGTTTGTTTAGGCAGGAGCTTCAAACACTTGGTCATGTGCATTTGGCGAGCCTTGGATACTGCCAGCACCACACCAAGTTGATCGTCGATGCGTTTTCGATAGCTCGTCCACATTGCCCATGTTGTCACCTTCAACTTGTGGACGCAATAATCCTATACGTCGTCGGTATAACCCCTCCAATTATCAAACAGCAATCCACACACAATGCTTACCGTAGCACGACGTCGCTTGGATCGCATGTACTGTCGAGATTGCCACACTCGAAACCAGCGCCGCGACATCATAAGACGATACGCCAAAGCCGCGAGATCCGACGCTGCGCGTGTGCGTTGGGCCTCATGGGCGTGGCGGCTCGTCCATCGTCGGAACGCTCGGCAAAGACATTTGGCTTGACTCCAATGGCGCCATTTGTCCAATCGACGACGAGTCTCCAAGGCCCACAGGAACAAGCACCGTTGTTGGAGCAAGCTCTAATCGTATCACAGCGTACGATTCATTGGAAAGTTCATGTATAGTGAGACATCACGAGGGTTTTCATGTACCTGGTGGTCGTAAACATGTCGGTTGAGTGCAGCAATTCGGTATGATTGAATCTGGTCCAGCCTTGACTTCCACGCAGCAAAAGTCGACGATAATCGACATCGTGCGACTTCTGTGGCCCTATAAAGAAAGTTATCATTCAATGAACGTTTGAGCTATAACAATATATCGCAGGGATATGTGAAACTGTACTTGGTTCTGGAGACTCGTTGGACAGTTGGTAGTAGCTTCCACCGAGAAAACGTACGCCGACTTCGTTGGTGGTAGCACACTCGATCGGCGGTGTATTTGTTTAGACAAAGGTACAGAAAGAGTCGCCACCGTTGCCACGTTTGTTGAACGACTGCAAACGCTTTAGTGGACTGCCACAACCGAACCTACGGCATACCAGGTCAGAAGTACATAATCGCTGCCGTCGGAACGTACCAGTCGAATCCGTCGCGTTTCAAAAGCCCATCCGCAATACCACTTGTGCATCAAGCGACGATGATGGTTGCAACGAAACCAATATAAAGCTGCGGCGACTGAGCGACTCTGTCGACAGGATTGATGCCATGAGTGGCACGCGCGGTGAAGCAGCCGTTGGTTGGCCCAATGCCGACTTCGACAAAGACTGAGGCGCGTGAATTGGATCCGTGTGATCTTGCGTTTCCAGCAAAGTAAGGCTTGAGTGACAAGCCATCGGGTGTATGGACGATCAATGTAATGTCTAACCCAGCAACTCCATCGAAAGTACGATTTCCATGATGTGAAGCAACGACGAAGGGTCATGTGCTACGGACGACAATGAGGCAATCAAGTGGCACCACTGTCAAATAGAGATGAAAGGCGTACAGTGTACTATACCTGCCAAAACATGCCGCGTGGCATGACCTTTCTCATAGGCCGTGGACAAAGTTGAGTGGAATGCTCGATTTGAAATAATATCGCTACCCGCTGTAAGAGATGAACGTTGACAACGGTTCCATTTGTGTCTCAGATGCAAGCATACCTGGCTATTCCAAAGCAGGAACATGCGACGGAGCAAGTAATGTACACGGAGGCAACGAATCTGCATTGTAACTTTCCATGCTCGAAACGAACGACATAGGTATCGAGCTCGCACATGGCGTTCGGCAAATATGCGGTGAAGACGACGTCGTCTGCGCATGTCTAATATGCCCATCTTAACCATCAGCCCCATGTTATGCGTCCGATGCAGTGTACAGGATAATGAGGCAATTTAGTCGTACCTCGATATTGCACCCACCTGTAAAACAACGTCAGATGAATGCGTGGGACTCGTCGTCGCCGCTGCCGATGGCGTGTCCAATGCCTCTATCATCATTTGACGACTTTCGTGGACAACATCCACAGACACACCTTCCATGTCGTCACTGCGTTGACGAGGCCCAAGAGATCGTAATACGCATCGGCGACATCGAGTTGATGGACGCGTTGCTTCTTGGCGAAGATGGATTCCCTCCACGTCGCGAAGGCATGATCCACGCGATCGTTCTCCATGTAGACCCCTCTCGTTCTCACAGCATGCGGCAGCACACCGCGCCTTTCCGCTTGCCTCAACCCGAACGCGCGCGTTTTGCTTTGTTCGATTGCACCATAGTGGTTTTTATCCGGACACCTCTATCCGGATATTGATTTTCCGCATTTCCACGCGACATAAAGCAAACATGCCGTGGGTTGCCAACAACAATCAAGTTGGCGAGTTCCGCCTGCCGTCGCATGCCGCCTTCCTAAAGAGCGCGCAAGCGTCTCTGTCCCCGATGCAGACGTTTCGAGCGCAGCAGTATGAGCACAAGGTGCCATTCTGTGTGTACCTCCACCCGTCGCATGCACCAACGCAGTCGTCGGACGCGTTGTTTGTGTACCCTCGAACGTATGCACAGTATGTGTCGCAAGTTCGCTTTCTCGACGACGTTCCTGAAGACGCCGTCTGGTGCAGCGCTGAACAATTGATCAATCTGGAACTGTGCGACAGCCAAGAAGCGACGTGGCGATGGTACAATCCCGCGCAAGACCCCGTGGCGGCGTCGATCACGTTTGAGATCCGTCCACTGGTCAGTCCACACAACGAGGCTGCACCATACGTAGTCGACGTAGCCGCCGTCAAGTCACGTCTGGCCGAACTCGGACATGGCAACATCCTCACCGAAAACGAGCGCGTGGTGCTGTACGTGCACGACATGCCGCTGTTCCTTCGCGTCGTGCACTTGGAAGGCCACGACCCTCACGAAACCGAATTCACAATGCCGAATGTGTTTCGTGGTCGCGTGGACGCCGCGACCACGTCCTTCCATCTCGTCAAGGAGAACCCCGTCAGCGACGAGTACGCCTTGAGCGACACCGCCGACGATGATCCGCTGCCGGCCTCGTTCAAAGGCTCGGTCGTCAACGTGTACACGAACGATGACGAAATGTTCCCCGTCAAGAAGAAGCTCCTGTGGCCGTGCATCAAGCTCACGTCCGCCGTCATGGCTGGCCATGGAATTCACAAGGACAAAGCGAGCGTCGTTCATGTGGATGTGGATTGCCTCACGTTTGACCGCGTCTTGCTCTACTTGGAGCATGCGGCGCTACACCCCGACGATTCGTTCCAGTTCGATCCGCATTTCACCGACGGATTGCTGCATGCCGCCCGCACCGTCGGCTGCCAGGTACCATATATATATATATATGACAGCTTATTTTTGAGGATATGTTGGCATAATACGATTATCCGAAGAATCGCTGTGATTGGTCACTCTGAAAATGCTCGTCGCTTATTGGCTACATTGTTTTGGCTACAAAAGTAGAACGAATCGTGCCGGGTTTTGTAGTATATCGTGCATTTCACTCAAAATTGGAATTTTTGAATCAATTTGCCCAATGTAAGCTTGCAGTGCAAACTATACTACTATTCAATATCTTTTTTAGTATATAAATTTATATATACCAGGTTTTGCCGAATGCGGAGGGACTGAACGGATTCTTTCATTTGGATTGGTAAACATATTCGACAGAACGTGTGTGTTTTGATTGGCTAAAACCTGGTATATATATATATACAAAGATATTGAATAGTATAGTTTGTACTACACGCTTACATAGGGTCAAATATTATTGGCCAATTGACTCAAAAGTCCAGATTTGAGTGAAATGCAGCATACTATTCAATATCTTTGTATATATAATATATACATATATATATATACATACCAGGTTTTGCCGAATGTGCGTGTTTCATTTGTGTGTTTTGATTGGGCTTTGACGGTTCTTTATTGCTTTCGCTGACGACATTCGACTCGATTTGACAATACTAGCGCATATTGACAAATGAGATACTGTTTTGCCTAGGGCCTAGAAGACCTGTGTCGCATAAAGATGGGCGAATTCGAGTCCCGCGTGCGGAAACACGCCATCAAGTACAGCTACGTGGTCGAGCGCAACGTCGTGGGGAATGAATTTTGGCTCATTATGGACGGTATGGTGCTCGACATCACGCGGTGGCTGCCAGAGCACCCCGGCGGCTCGGAACTCATTCCAAAGGAGGCGCTCAACGTCGACTGTGTCGGCATGTTTGAAGTGTTTCATGCGTCCAAAGCGTCGTTTCGGTAGGTTTCGATTGTTTTATAAATATATTTCATTTATGGCCTGTGGGTTGTGTTGTAGGTACCTCAAGCAATTTTACATTGGCGAACTGGGCGAGAAAGAGCGCCAGCTGTGCCCCAATGGCCACACTCACAAGGACATTCCAATCCCGTCGAGTGGGTTTATGGACGAATTCAAGCGGGTACTTATATACTGTATATATATATACTGTATATATATATATACTCTATGATATATCACTAGATATACCTACGATCTATCTCGATATATACCTGAAACTCATTACATTTGCGATGCATTCCCATGTCTATATATATATATGTATAGTAGTCCCTGTATCTTTCTTTGCTTTCTCCAGTAGGTTGACCCATACATATATATATTGTCCTTTTACTCAAAATTTGGCTCTTGTGCTGATTGTTTGCCAAATCCATCGATCAATTGATTGCTTGTACTGACTTTTGTATGTAAAATTCGTCCAATGTTACACTAATTTCATTCACACACTAATTTGATGTTGAAGAGTTGATCATTTGATTGGCTACTTGATCCGTGTTGTGGGTTTTGATTGGTCGATATATCGATTCCCTGCCGATTTGGTGATTCTGCTTACACTCCAATTTCGAATAATCGACTTGACAATATATATATTGTCAAAATGATGTGCTTTCATGCAATCGTAAGCAATATCCGACTACTTTGGACAGCTCATGTGGTCTCGTTTATATATATGTAGTACACGTCATGGCGGATTAGTCCCGAAGAAGCCGTGCATGTGAGCTTCTAAAGCTGGTAGTGTTGTTGCGGGGGATCTGCTGGCTCGGTGGACGAAGTCGCGACGGGCACAAAGGACGAAGGCGGCAGCTTACAAGTACTTGTAGGTCGTGTCATGGTGCTGGTGCTGTCGTCGAGCATCATGTTGGCGGGTTTGAGTAGCGTTTGAAAGTGCGTCATGGCCCTCTCGTTCGTGTCGAGGCAGTTGTCGGCACAGAGACTTTGGTACACTATCGAATACATGGCACCATATCGACGATCAAACTCCATGCCATCGTTGTCTGCCCTACATACATATATCATCACAGTGACCGCTCCACAGCTATTAAAAAGCATACCGCGACGCTTGGTACGCGGTGAAAAACGCAAACAGTTCATGGAATGCCCGAGTGCGCTTTGGCGGATCCATTCGACCATCCTCGAGTCGGATGGGATGGGGTTGCCCTGGAAGAGCTGGAGGAAGATGCTGGTGGTGGAGAGATGGCACCGACAACGTGTCTTGGAGCATGGGGTCACCAAGGACTAGGTCATGGTTGTGCACGTGCACCTGAAGAATCAGCGTCAATGATGATTGATGTCGGAGGATTGACACATTGACGTACATGGTTGGTTACGACTACCCGCCACTTGTCGTTGTCCTGAAGGGTTGAAGGGACCTTGTGGACTTGGACGTGCATTTTCACGGGACAGGCACTGTAAAACGCGCCGTCCCGCGCTTTCCGCTTGGGGTTGGTAGGGACGTAAGTGGGCTCGACATTATCGACAGGTCCAGCGGAGGACGACGACGTGTCGGCGGCTGCGGCGCCATCTTTGGTCCCGAACAAGTTCATGTTCTTGGACATGTTCGACTGGGAATGCTTGCAATCGAACCTATGGTCTTGGAATGTTAACATCCTCGCCAAGATGAAGATGGATGATCCCACCGAACTCGAGCGTGAGTGAACTCGACTGGCACCGGGACGAAGTGCTTGACCTTTCGCTTGATCTGTTCGGCGTTGTACCGCACTGTGGTCTTGGAATCGCGGGAGATGTATGTCTGATTGGTCTCCTTCATGTATGCATGCAATTCATCGTGGAAGTCTTTCCATGACGCGAACGAGAGTCCTTCCAGCGATCGAACTTGGCATTCGACGCCCGTCTCGGCGAACTGTTCCTCAAGGAACTGCCTCGCCTTTACGTACTTGGATCGGCGCTTCTCCAGGCGCCATGCATGAGCCGAGGTGGCCACGGAAGCGTCAATGGTCGTCCCTCCATCTCGATGCTCATCGCTTGGGTCTGGGAATGTTGTGGCATGATTCATGTTCGAACGGCCGGTGCTCACCTCCTGGTATCATTTCGTATCCGGATACCATCCGATTGGATTGTTTCATCACGTCGTCTAATTGGCTAAAATAACATCCATTGTTTCATTCGCTGATTTTGAAACGGATATAGCGATCTTGACCAATGGCATCGATCGATGGGATCTATTTTTAACAACCAGGCAGACAGGCACCTTTGAAACTCCTCCGACTGCAGTCCCCGACCACACTCCTTCGTCGTCGCCGATACTTTTTGTCCTCATGGCAGAACACGTATTCGAAAAAGGCAACCCGATCCTTGGACGTGGCAATTACCATGCCAAGGTCGGCAATGGAGGCAAACAGCAAAAGTTTAAGCTCGTGGCAGGCATGCGCATCGACAGTTCATTGTCCCAAGCGCCAAGCATCCTGGCCACGCGGGCCGACAAGCGCGGCGACCCCGATCGGTTCACGACGACGGCGCGGGATTTTGGGAGCGAGCTCAGCATCACGGACGAGAGCATCTTCGCCCCGTCCAACGTGAACAAGGTGCTTCGATTCTTCGCGTTTTTTGAAGAAACGGTCGACGAAAGTCCATCCGAGCTGTTTCGACTTCGCAAGAGCATGATCTTGTTCTACTTGACGGACGACACGATCGAGATCATCGAGAACAAAGTCGCCAACAGCGGGTTGCCCCAAGGCACGTTTCTCAAACGCGGCAAGCTGCAAAAACCAAACCACGGCGGCCACTACAAGATGGAGGATATTTACGTGGGTATGCACTTTCCCATCTACGGCCGCGTGTTCAAGCTATACAGCTGCGACGCGTGGACGCGGTCGTACTACTCGGAGCGAGCGATGGAGCTGCATCCAGACATTGACATCCCCAAGGACGAGTACACGCTGAGTCGGCAAGAGATTGCCAAGTTGTGCGGCGGCGAAGTGGGCCACTTTTACGGGAAAAAGAACAGCGCGCTCAAGACGTTCATGGAAGCCACGCTGGGCAACCACGGGCTGCAGAGCATGAAGAAGAAAAAGTTTTTGGAAAACTGCCGAAAGGTGCTCAACTTCAAATGCGAGTACGACGACCGCGAGAAATTGTACGGCGACTTGATGTCGTACAGCCTCAACTATTTCTTGGAAGACGACACGATCGAAATCAAAGAGGTGGAAAAGGCCAACTCGGGCCGGGATCCTTTCCCGTTGCTGCTGTCGCGGTGCCGTTTGCTCAAGACGTGGGAGGACGCGATCCACGACGAACAAGCCCGGGGCGTCGAAGAACCCACGGGGCGCGACGCGTACTTTAACGAAGAAGACTTGTACGTCGGCGCCGTGATCAACGTGTTTAGTCGACCTGTGAAGCTCGTCGATGCGGACGAGTACACTCGCGCGTACTATGCGCACACATGGGACGTCCAGCTCGCCCCTCCGTCGTATCATAACGAACCGCGCAAGGAAAACAAAAAGCCCGACCCACCTCCGTACACTGGATACGGCACCGAAGAAGGTATTTTATGTCATTGGTGAAATGTCCCTGCCATACATGGGAATTGACTGGCCCGCCTGTCCAAATAGATTCCCTCGGGTCGGTCACGAATTTGGTGCCTAAAGTGCCCAAAAAAGACTTTATCAAGATGTCGCTCAACGATCGCAAAGTACTCCGGTTTTCTGCGAAAATGGTATCCTCTCGTCGCGAACAATCGGCGCGGCAGTTTATTGTGGCCTTCTACCTCGCCGACGACACTGTGTCTATCTACGAACCCGAGGCGCGCAACTCGGGCATCGTGAGCGGCAAGTTCCTCGAGCGAGGCCCCCACAAGAAACCCGACGGCGCGCGCTACCGCCTCGCGGACTTTCAAATCAACAGCAATGTCGTGTTCAACGCGTACGAGTTCCACATCCATGACGCCGACGAGTACACAAAGAAGTTTCTTGGGTTGCACTAGACAATCCACCCCTTGCAGTGTAGTGGGTATTGGTATCATCGTAGGTAGGTTGTATTTTGATAATGGAGAAGCAATACTTTTCACGATATGTTGAGATACCCCACTCACAAGTACTTGTAAGCAGAACTTGCCGCATTCATAGTGCCAGTCCCGACTCCATTTTAGTTCTCACGTATGTACAGCCTAGGCACGCCATTATTCATTGGGCTGGCTACATTGTTGATACTGCGAGTATCACGCCAAAATCGATGGGCTACACACTACGTAGCAACCATGAACCTGCGATGACTTATCAAGTTTCATGACCTACAGATAGGGTACTTAGTATGGCTACACGACGACAACGACGCCCTGTCATGTCGGTTAGTGAAGTTGGCTAGGTGCAAAAATACCATCGAATTTAGAACATCCTAATAAGAACCATAGTTAATGAATCTTTGGAGGAGCAATACAACGATCCGTAGATAACCCTTCAACCAAAAACTGAAACCGTCGCAATATATCTCAGCGGGCACGATGGAACCCCCAAAGGCAGGAGGTGTCGCCTCAGCGGCTGAAGTACCCCAACGACAAGAGAGAATGATAAACCCATCGCACCAGCTACACCACTTGACCAAGGAAATGTCCAAAGCGGTGGCCTTGAACGTGGACACGACCATGCGAAACCGCACCAAGAGTTCGATCCATCACGCTCAACAGACAAACTCCCATAACGATGACAGCGGCAGCGGCAGCAGCAGCAGCAGCTCCAGCAGCAGCTCGGCCGAGTCGTCTCCGAACCCGTCGCCGACAGCGCTCGTGTCGACGCGGCCTCTGCCGTCGCCCGCTACTGACAGAGTTCATTCGTCCCTCAAGCCACCAAGACAAAAGTCGTCACCTGCGGCATCCACGTCATCGTCGTCGGAAGCACTATTGATGCCAGGCAAGGCCTTCCTCGAGAGCTTTTACATGTTCCTGAAACAACATGCCAAGTCACTTCGCGTGCGCAACCCACGCCTCCAAGTGATGCTGAATCCGCCCTGCCTTCATTACCTTGAAGGCTGCTTTCTCGCCATGCTGCAGCCGTCGTGGCATCCCGAGAATGGCGCCGTCATGCAGTGGCAGGCTCGCCGGGACCACCACCATCACCACGACGCCGCCGCCACTACAAACACTCCTCTGAGCACCAGCAACAACCAGAGCGCCGCCCATCAAGGCATGTCCAAGACCAACCGGATGCTCAAACTCGCGGGCTATGTGTTGCACGTGATTGACTTGAACATCCAAACGTTGCCGGACACAATGCCGTTGCCGTCTACATGTAACTTGGCCATCTTCAGCTCGTTATTGTACCTCAACATCGTCGGCGTGCTGTTTCAAGATATCCAACACCTGTCGACACTGCGCAAGCAACTAATTGAGTTGCACGTGACGCGCACCATCGTGCCATCGCTCGCGGCGCTTTTGGGAGAAGGAGGGGGCACATGGGACGCGCTCAAAGTGCTCGAGCTCGTCGATTGCGGGCTCTCCAAGCTCGACCCGAGCTTGGCCCTGGCACCGTGCCTCCACACCCTCAACGTGGCCCACAACGACCTGCAAACGCTTGCACACCTCGAAAACTGCCCGCACTTGACGCTCGTGAACGTCAGTCACAACCACTTGAGCTCTGTGGCCGGTGCCCATCGGTACCTGGCAGCGGTCGCGTCCTTAGACCTAAGCCACAATCACCTCACGTCCACGTCGGGATTGGAGAAGATGTTCACGCTTCAGCGCTTGGATTTGGCACACAATGTCGTTCCCACCACGGGCGAAGTTGCGTACCTTGTGTCGCTCCCACTTCTCCACGACTTGTCGTTGCTCGGCAACCCGTTCGTGGACGTTGCGTATCGAGAACGCGTTCTAGAGCTACTCGGACGAGGGGTGGTGCTGGACAATACCCCATGGTCCCCCGCGGAATTGAACTTAGTCGGTCGCCTGCACCCCCCTGCCATTGACACGGTGCATGTACCCCTGGACGCTGTGGATGACCGTATATCACCCGCTAAGGCGCACGTGCCGACTAACCCGTTCTTGTATGACCTCAAAACCATTTGGGGGGAGGGCGATGTCGTCCAAGACATCCTACGTCGTACAGGCGTTCTCTGCGGCCTGTTGGTAGGATGCACCATAATTTTATGGTAGATAAGCCTTAGTGATATTGTGTGGGGCTTAGGTCATAGCCCATGTGCTCGCGCAGTGGATTTGGCCAACCACGGACTCGATGAGCGACGACAGAGACAACTACATGATGTGGACAGTCGGAAGTCTCGTGACTGTAGTCGTGGCGGTGGCAGGACCCCTATATGGCGTCCAGCTGTATCGAACCGCGACATCATTGTCGTCGATACCTACCGACGACATGATGTCAACCAACTACTCGTCGCGTACACTTCTCTCTCCCAGGGTAATAATAATACTACTATGTACCTACTAGTCCGCTACACCTGTGCTTTGTTGTTTAGATGTCCAAGCAGTTGAGTTTCAACACCAACCAAGACGACAACGACGACCTCATCACGACGACCGAAGTCGCTTCGCTCGATGTTTTGTCGACGGCGCTCGAAGTGCTCGTCGAGTCTTCGGCCGACATGCCTCTGCACGACTTTATCACGATGGCCGGCGAGATTCACAAGTTGCTCTCGTTTCTTGGAACGTTGGGTGGCGTTGCTCTCAAGCCGTGGGTCGTGGACGAGGCCTCGTTGCTTCAGCTGTGGGCGAAAGTCGGCAACGATTCCACCGTGTCCATCCAACGCCTAGTACGCGATGACGTGGCAAGGCATGACGCGCACTCGATCACGAGGTTGGTCTGACAGATATTAATTACCATGTAGTGCTACTTACTTGGGGGATTGAAGGGGTCGTTTGTTCGTGTAGAACGGTGCTACATATGGTGCCCGTGCTCTTGTTCGTCCGAACGTTGTGTTTGGAAATGGAGAAGTCCGCCGACGCGACACTGCTGGAGTGCGTGGCCACTGCGTACACCTCGACGATCGCCAAGCAAAACAAACATGCGTGGCTAGTGCAAAAGGCCGTTTTGTCCACTATGCAACTGAGTCCTGTGACAAGGTTGGACCTCCTGCTCATGTGGGATGTGGAAGACGTCGACCAAGATGCAGAGTTCAAGGAGCAGCGACTGCACGCCATCGGCCGCATGCTGGATATTCTAGTGGTAACTACGAAGATTGGGAGATGTGATGGAGTGATGTTGATCGTTATTTAGGTGCCCTTGGCCAAGCTGCGCGATGTGTACAACATTTCCGACTAGGGGACTTTTGGATTGATCTCGTTGCCATCATATAGATAAAGAGATATAATATACTGCGTATATTGTTTGGATACAGGGCTAATACAACTAACTACATGTACACTTGTGTGACGCGTTGCATGTACCCGAGAGTTTGGAATCGCGAACTGTCAAATTAGAATCTCAGGATGGCTGTCACACACAAACGTCATGTCCAAACTGTGTTCGGGTTGCTTTTTGATTGTGTTCGTGCCCAGAGTATTTTATTGTTGAAAGGAATGATGGCCACCCCGTGTGCGAACCCTCAGATCTGATGACTTCGATGCGATTTCTCTAAGACTTGTTATAAAAGTACCATTGTCACAATACTTACGAATTATGGGGCTAAGGCTACAGTAGCTACAAAAAGGCAAGACATGCATTTGGGCTTGTAGACTGTGTGACATGATTTTCAAACGAGTAAGCTTAACGTTACCATCCTTCCACTGATGAGGGGTGGTAGTCAACTTAGACTGGTTGGGAGCCATTGCTTGATTCAGTTTCAAGGACAAAACGTTCCAAGTGGCTTCGATGTTTAGGGGTGTCGTCGAACAACCCCAATCACAAACGTTATGAAACGATCCATGTCCAAGAGGTTGGTCGTCAAGAAAAACTATTGCATGTTATTGGTCGGATCTCTCCTCTGTTGTGTTGTGGACAATGGCTGCACAGCTAGTGTTACTAACGCTACTATTGTACTACCCTTTATTACAAGGTGCCTTGGCCACTCTTCAATATTTTACACACAACTTGAGTTTGAGTTGTGGACGGGGGTTGGGGGGACGGCGATGTCTTGATTTCGTCGCCACCGCTTCCAAAACGGCCAACAACCGTTGGTGCAAGGTGGCGAATCGTTACTACTGTATATCCTGCAAACAGTTCAAGCGGACGCTTGTATCATGTACTGAAGGCGATGCGACTGTTGTAGGGTACAAAGGTGGCAATATTGACTGCCGTGAGGCTTTGCCACCTCGACCAGTTGTGGATAAACCAAGGCAGCTAGCCGTCGGTTTCGCACACTTTGAAAGAACGGTGAATTGTCGTGGACGTGAGCCGTCATATCCTAAGGTTGTGCCAGTGCGAACGGTCGCGACGTTTTACGGCTATTCCCATGCCAGAAATTGTTGGCCATCATTGCCATTCGACAACATCCACCATGGTACACGCATTGCACGTCCTGTTCGCCCTTGCTGCGCTAACCAGTGCCAAGACGACGTACCTGAGCTGGACGACGATGCCGTCGCCTGCCGGCGGCAACGGCGACCTCAAGTCAGTGTCGTCGGGGGCAACACTGTGTGCGTGGTGGTGGGTTCAAGCAAGATCCAGTGCGGCGCCTTCAATGCCAAGAAAGCAGACGTCGATTGGAACGCCGTGTCGGGTGAGCTGGAGTAAGTGGTTGTGGGGCCCAGAGGCAGCATCATCGGCGTTAATAACGACAATGAAGTGCGGTACTCGTCCAAGATTCTGCCCACGCAGGCGTGGATTCAAATCAGTGGCGAAACGTACGAAAGTGTATCGATGGACGAGGACAAGTTTGTGTGTGGCGTGACCCCTGACAACAAGCTCGACTGTGCATGGAATGGCATCAAGTCTAAGAGCCCCAACTGGTCCCGACAGAATGGCTTGTTTAAGCAGGCTATCCCGTCCCCCCCGTCCCTTCTGGCGCAAATCTCGTACGACGGTGAACGTGTGTGTGGAATCACCACGTCCAACACGGTTCTGTGCACCACGTTCGACCCCACGAAACCGTTGGACTGGTACTCCGTGCCAGGCTCCAACATTGCTGTGGTGTCAGTTCAAGGGGACAATGTGTTTGCAATCACCACCGACTCAAAATTGTTACTAAATGTTACAACGCCAGCCCCAACTACAACCCTAGCTCCTACTACAACGGTGGCTCCTACTACCACCCTAGCTCCTCCAACTACCACGCGAGCTCAAACTACCACGGACACTCCTACGGTGACGCCAACAACTACGGAGGCACCAACTACCACGCGAGCTCCCACTGAGGCCCCCACTGAGGCCCCCACTGAAGCCCCCACTGAAGCCCCCACTGAAGTCCCCACTGAAGCCCCCACTGAAGCCCCCACTGAGGCCCCCACTGACACACCAACGGAGGCTCCCACTGATGCACCATCGGAGGCCCCCACTGATGTACCAACGACTACGGCGGCTCCTGCGAAGGAGAAATCTCGATTGAAGGCATATTGCTGATGTGTCGAACACGCTACAGCATCCACTGTCGATTGCGGACTCTTTGGAGTGGTATGTCCTTATACAGGGTTGAGGTAGATTGTGTAATACTTAATGTTGTTGCGTTCCACGTTATACTTCCAGGTAGTAGATATATTGATGGACGAAAACTTGAAGCTGGTATACTTCCCCAGGTTATGACAAGACAACGGAAGGCAAATATTTCACCTTTTCGTTCGAGTGAAGTGCACCTCACATTGCAATAATGTTGCGATCTTTGCCATGGGAAACGCACGGGTCTCAATTGAGAATCTACGATACACCATATCAGCAATGTTAGAGTTTGGCCATGGACGTTGCTTTGGTTGAGTATGCGCATCGGCAACGATTCAACGCCTGGTGCCAAAAGGCGGGCTCTCCGCCGTGCAAGTGCCCCGTGGAATATGTACATTGGGGCTCAAGTATTTTAATTGCCTTCCTCGCTTATTATTAGATCGATAGAATACACCAGAGACATTCAATCGAACATCACGTTATAATATCCTCGAATACATGTAGTACCGTCTCCATCCTGGAGGGCCATTGGAGCATCTACACTGACGACGCACTGTAGCCTGTCGGTTTCACACGGCTCGCAATCCGTTCCCTGGAACAACAACCACCGTACTATATCACTGCGTCATCATCAACCGTATACAGGTCGACTTGAATTCTAGCAACCATCTCCAAAGGTTGCAGTAGGAAACGTCGTGGTGTTTCGATGCCAGCCCCCTTTCCCTCAAACTATCGCCTTTGGCTCAACCCCATCGTGGGGTTAAGAAAGGTCCAAGCAACTGTTTACCGCCCCCACGGGCAAGATCGCCACGAGCAGCCTCAAGTGGCCGCTGATCGTCTCGCCTACTCCGACTCCCCTGACGCAGATCTCGTACGACCCCACGAAGTCGTTGAACCGGTACTCCGTTGCCGGTGCCAACATTGCCGTGGATAAAGCGTTGTACCCGAACCGGACGATGTTGCCGTCGCCTTACACCAACAGCCCCCTTAAGTCGATGTCGCCGGGGGGGACCACCGTGTGGTGGCGGTGGGTGCGGGGGAAAGCAAGATCCAGTGCGGCATTGGAAGATCGTGCCAGGCGAGGTGGAGCAGGTGGTCGTAGGGTCCAAGCGCAGCATCATCGGCGTCAACATCGAGGACGAAGTGTGGTTCTCGCCCAAGATCCTGCCCTCCCAGGCGTGGGTGCAGATCAGTGGCCAAATTTACAAGAGCGTGTCGTTGGACAATGGCAAATTTGTGTGTGCCGTGCACGCAAGAACAAGGTCGAGGGCATATGGAATAGCATCAAGACATCCAGCCCCAACTGGACCCAACTGAATGGCGGGCTGAGGCAGGTCGTGGTGGCGAACGGACGCCTCGTGGGGCTAGATCTGTGGAACCAACTGTTTACCGCCTCCACGGGCACTATCAAGTTGCAGCTCATTCTGCCCCCTCCGACTCTCCTGTCGCAGATCCCTTATGACGGCCAACGCGTGTGTGGTATTACGACGGCTAGCACGATTCTCCGCACCGCGTTCGACCCATCGAAGCCGTTCGACTGGTACTCCGTGCCAGGCTCCAACATTGCGGTGGTGTCGGTCCAAGGGGACAACGTGTTTGTCAGCACCACTGATTCGACTTTGCTCCTCAACTCGACACGTCCTGTTACCACCGTAGCCCCGACTACTACGCTAGCCCCGACTACTACGCTAGCCCCAACGACTACGGTGGCACCAACTACTACGCTAGCGCTTACCACGACAGTGGCTCCAACAACAATTCAACAACTACAGCGGCGCCATCTCCCACCTTGGCTCCAACGGATGGCGAAATTCGATCGAAAGCATTCTGCTGATCGGGCAAGTCTGCCTGTAATGTTACTTTATCAAGAGCTTATGGAGATGTTCGAAAGAGTGATATGACCCTGTGAGATACAGTAGAGAGAGATTGATATTAATCATACTAAATGTTCAATTGTTATCATGTTTTGGTTTGAACACAATTTGGTATCACGTTGTATGCCGAGTTTCTCCCCGGTTCGCTATAGTTAGTCTGGCTACTCTAAATTGCTCTATCTCTGGTACTCCCAACGCCCTCTTACTGCTCACTAGCAAAGGAGATTTGAAGATCTGTGGTACTGTAAGCCAACTCGCTAAGGATAATCGTCTTAATTTATTTATTTTGCTGCAATACGATGCACGAACAATACCCTGTCGTTTGGCTCCGAGTACGTCAGGGGTGCTTTGAGGTATTAAATTTCTACGTATCTTTATTGATCAAACGATTCACTTCTGATCGTCTTCAATGGTAGTAGAACATTTAGCTAGCTAAGTAGCTATCTAAATGTTCTATGACAGAATTGAACGGATACTGTTCCGCATTCTTCTCGTCCTCCATGTTTGTTCGAATTTGGAACACCTAAAATTCGATGACCCGACGATTTTAGATTGCACCAACTATCCCCACTTTTGTTTATCGCACCTTCATCCCACCAGCAATGGTTTTTTGCATGACGATCTTGGTGAACGCGGCATTCCTGTCACTCGCAGTTGTGTCAGGCCAGAGCGTCATCGACCCTGTGCCCCCTTGCCTGGATGCCCCAGCAGGGTGGTCGGCCGTGCTTGGATCGCTCACGCAAATTTCCGTCGATAAGTCCGTTGTATGTGGATTGAATGCCCTCGGCAAGTTCAAGGTGTACTGCAGTCAGAAAAAACAACCTGCGTCGTGGTGGACGTTGCCAAACGTTGCGTTTAAACACGTGGCGGTACGTGACGGCATCGTGTTTGGCATCCAGACCGACGGCAAGCTCGTCACCGGCCCCGTCGGTCCCACAGCCACGTTTGTGGAAGTATTGACCCCATTTTGCGAAGCCTCCAAAGTCACCGTCGACGGGTCGACGGTTTGTGTGGTGACCACCCGGAATCAAGTGTTTTGCGCGAACACATCGGCCACCGCCGGCTTCCCCGCGTCCGTCAGGTGGCAGAGATTGGATGGCACGGTTACCCAACTCGCCCTCGCGGGGTCGACTCTCTATGGCGTGAATGGTCAGAACCAACTATGGAGAGGCATCGTCACCGCTGGTTCGCTCGCGTCGGGGGTGGCTAGTTGGACACTTGTGCCCACGATTCAACTGCAGCAAGTTTCGTACGACGGAGTGCGCGTGTGCGGTGTCACACCGGTGCAAAAGGTCGTGTGCTCGTCAGCAGACGGAAATGCGATCAATGGCAACGGCTCTCTAACGTGGACAACATTGGAAGGCGAGCTGGCGCAAGTGAGTCAGTTTGGCGCGTCGCTGTACGGCGTCGACGCCGCTGGGCACATTTTCTACCAAGATCTACTGCCTGGTACTACTCCTACAACAACCCCCCTTACAACCCCTCGATCGAATGTCGCTGCTGCGTGGACTGTGGTGCCCACCCCAAACATCGCCCTCGTGACTGTGTCGTCGTTCGGTTCGAACGTGTGCGGCACTGACAGCGCCGGTTCCATCTACTGCAGTACCTTTGACGCCAACAACCCGTCGGTGGTCGCGTGGGTGCAACTCCAAGGAGCCCTCCAACAAGTGGTGGTGGGCGCCAATGGAGTGCTCTACGGTGTGAATTCTGCAAACGCCATCTATTACGCACCTACGTGCAGGGCTACGTCCCCAAGTTGGGTGCAGCAGTGGGGGGCCCTGAACAACATTGCGACCGACGGCACGGTGCTATGCGGTGTGAACCGAGGGTCGCAAGTCTACTGTGCATGGCAAAACATCCAGTCCAGCACCCCCAACTGGACGTTGTTGGACGGCAGTTTGAAGCAACTGGTCGTGGCCAATGGTCTCTTGTTT